CTTAGAGTTCCAAGTGCAGTAGCCTTTGTTCAGTAGTAGAAGCCAGAGCCCTTTCCCAAGCATTGCTCAGTGTGGTTTTTTTAAATAGATTTTTAAATTGCATTTTCACTACATACTACATAGGGTAGGGAACATGGAAAGACTAACTAAAACATACAGCTAAATAGGGATCTGATATGACAAAAAATTGCTTTTTTCAAAATTTCCCTTAGATTCTAGAAGATGAAGAGTGAGATTAACTGTTTCAAATGTATTCCAGTACAAACAATATTAGCCAAATAAGTGTATTCTGGTATATTAAACTAAATAGTATTAAACTTTCAGAGTTGATTCATTTTTAGTTATTTTCCCCCTTAGGCTTATCTTTATCATAGTCCCATCTGACTTTAATTTGGGGGTGGCTGCTTCCATATCGGATTCAGAGTCTTCTCCTGAGGGGCTGCCTGCTGTACTGCTATTACTTCCTAGTCCAGTTCCGCTATATTCTTCTTCTGCGTTGTTGTCCTCCACTTTTCCTTTCTCTTTCTCTGTTTTTGATGCTGCTCCAAAAATGCTTTAGCTTTTGTAACAGTCTATTTTTTCTTTTTTCTCTTTGAAGTTGAAGATAAGACCCTCTGGTAAAATCCATCTGTAGGGAGTGGAATTTTTCTGTAGAAGTAATCCCATTAGTCACTTTGAGTATAACATCTCTGGTAGACCTCTTGGAGAATTTCACAAATATTTCACCAGATCATTTATTTTTCTTATTGTAGTCTGGATAAGTCTGATAGACCACATCCATTTTGCTTTGTATAAATTCCGCTTTAAGGTCTACTCCTCATGTCAGGGCGTCACTTAGAATCTCCTTGAGGTTTTTTCCTTTTTTTCCAGGATACCTTGAAATCTCAGGATATATGATGATTTTTCCATTTGTAGTTGTAACAGCTGTTGTTTATCAGAGGCTTTCTCTTTTTCCACTGCCTCCAGTCTCTGATTCAACACTTTTGTCTTAACATCAAATATTCTCACATGTTCATTTCCAACATAAAACT